ACGGTATTCGTGCGGTATGTTACTCTGCTCCGCATGCGAGCTTCGGCACCCCGCATGCAATCTAAGAAGTGTCGATATCGAGCCTGTTCATGAGGTCTCTGTCCGAGGACGTGGTCAGTGTGTATGGAATCCCATGAAAGTCCCCGGGTCGCTTCGCGTACCCACACTTCGCATACGCGCGGGCGCTTGCAGCCACCGCGCCCCTTCTTCCCGGATACCCACCTCGTCCAGACCGTTCTCTGCGCAGTTCTTCGCCCATGCTCAGCAGCGTCTCCGTAAGACGTGCTCCCCCCGCTCTTCTCCGAGCGCTGGGCCCGTTGGGGTCCCCGTGCGCACAGAGCAGCAGGTTACTAACGACGCTCCCGGGTCAGGACCACTCCGCGTGCGGCATTCGTACGACCCGACCCAGGTCACCGTCTCCGGCGTCGACACTGTCCTTCCCAGCCTCTGAGCGTAGAGAGAGACATCAAATGTAAACTGTAGCAAATAGACTGGATAGGCGAGATCTGGGCGTCTACGCGGGGATGGACTTGGCAGCGAACCACGACGACGGGCGGGCGGCTGGCTGCGGCTGCTGCGGTGCTCGAGGAGACGGAGACGGTCGGCGATTGTTTCGTTCGTTGGGTAGGTTATTAGGGGTATAATTAACTCGGAGGCCATGGTAGAGACACTGGTCTGCGCGGGCACTCAGGCAAGTCGTTTCCGCACCGCGCTCGTTCCATTGCTCACAGCCATCTACAGACAGTGTATACTATCCAAATGTCCCGCCCTTGACGCCTCGCGCTCTGTGCGCAGTGCACACCCGCCGCCCGATTTTGCGCACAACCCACAACCCGAGTGCTCGCCAAGAACCACCCTCGCGCCGATTCCCGTGTTCTACAGCCGCGATCAAGGTCAGTTCCGAGCCGCGCAGACCGGCAAATCTTCGACTCACGATGGTGCATTCGGGCCTGTTACGTCTGCCGCTGGCGTCGACAGGCGGGTCTTCCGAGGCGGTCACTGATCTTGCATTTCTGTATGTACGCGTCCGGCCCCTTCGCTTCATTCCGCACTGACAGTTTCCCGAGCAGCTCGGGCCAGGCGCGTGGGGCCTTGCATCGTCGCTCGGGGCGCCCCGTCGTCCTGCGCGCGACAGTCAATTCCGAGTCGTCATCTCGTGCCGGTGAAGTTGGATCAAAATCGACGCAATGTGTGCGGCCGCGCGAAGAAGACACACTCGTATCCGAACGACGGAGCTCGCACGCGGCGGGAGGCTAACACAACTACTCGCAGGTGTATCCTTGCGAGTTCGCAAAGCGGAGGGACGCGAGGGAGGACGGCGGCGAGCGATTCGGTGTGTTCGCGGGGTCTCCGCCCATGAAATCGCGCGAAACATCCCGAGATAAACATCGCCGTACACCGCTGAAACTCGGCGCACGCACGCACCCCGGTGCATAGGAGACACCGCCGTGTCTATGGCGCACCACACAGATGCGCACTCACCAACAGGCAACGCGGTCAATCACCTTGCGAGCGCGCCCCGTGGATCTCTTTCCCGCGCTGGCGCTCTGTCTTAGAATTCTGCAATAGCATCTCAGTAGGTCAGTCCATGCCTCATTGACGCGATATGCGCACTCACCATGTGTCCTGAAAGCTCTCCCGTGCAGTCTGTTCGAGAAGAGTGCCCACGTCACTCGTGGTCCACCCGGCATGGCCACGACGCGACTGCAGCACGGCACGAGAAGGTCTCCGCGCGGTGCAGGCCAGGTCCGACGCGGGATAGGTCAGCAGCTACTTTTACTTTGGGAACGGTCGCGCGGCTTACCTTGTCCTCGGAACAGATCGTGCGACAGACCGCTGCGCTGGTGCAGACTATTTGTAGCAGCTGAAGGCGCGACGCGGACACTCTTGTGCAAACGGATGCCCCGCTCCGAATCCTGCCACGCGGCCGCGTACAACTCCCCTCCCGCGGCGTACACGATGGTACGACCAAGAGCGCTCGTCCCCACACGCCGGAGCGCCGTGCCGGCTCTGCGTTCGCCATTCGGCAATTGGCCATCGTTGAGGGGATCGCGAAAACTGTAAAATATGTCAGTCCTTGGCTCGCTCGCGTCTCGATCGTACACACTCACTTCCCCGCGTACCGCCCCTAGGTTCTGAGCACTGTGAACGCTCGCTACCAGCACCCGCTTGCGCAGAACGCCCGGGTTCGGCGTTCTAGGTTCCCTGAACACCGGCTGTATCATCGGCGTCCACTCGGAGGCGCCTCGCATGTGCTCGCCTCCACAGGATGCCTCCGGTATTGTACCCAAGGCGAGGCCCCCGCGCATCTTCAATATCCATGGCGGCAGGTTCTCTGCACATACCAACACCTTCGCGCGGCGTCTGGCGCTCGAAACGGCTTCAAGACATCCGGGGTATCCGATCGACGCTCGCAACGTGCAGGTAAGTTCGTGTGTCTGTAGGACCTACAAGACTGGTTGGACTCGCCTCTTTTCTTGCAGATCCCACCTCGGCAGCTACGTGGCGATGCACAGGTGGCGGGAAGCCCAAACACATCGACGGCGACTGGGTCACAGAGCGGACAAGTCCTCGCGTCGTCTCGATGCAGAGTAGCTAGCTCGGCTGTGCGCGAACCTTGGGTTTCGCTCGCCAGGAACCGAGTGTGCAGGCCCCAAGACGTGTTCTTGCGATGGCGGCCCAGGGATGATGAGCACGTCCCGCGCTCACATGTCTTACCTCTGGTCCGAGACCGCCGCGCCGATATCCTCCGTGCACGCCACACCGTTGGCCTTCCTGATAACGATAGCACTCGAAACGGCTGCCCCCGGCCGTGTCAGTACGTCACGTTCTCTCGTGAGCCGACTGTGCACTTACAAATGCGACAGCTCACGTTTCGTCGCCGCGTGCGGGGCATGGCGACCACGAGCTTCCACTCGGCAGCGACCTTTGTGCCTGCACGCATGCCCGTTGCTTCATCGTCTGCGCCGCTGCACGAGTGGCCCGGGACTGCTGCGCGGGGAGGCGCTGGACGCTCATTTCCCATTTCTCAAGCTCTGCGAGATGTGTAAGTACTTGGGGTGCTTGCGAAGCAGAGACAATATACTGACGCACCTCGAACAGCAACTTCGACCACTCCGAGTGCACACGACTCTCGGGCGTGTCCGTGCGAATGCGGCCTCGACCAAAATGCCGGACAATGGGGGAAGTACTCACCGCTGCCACCGCTGAAGGCAGGAGGTGTCCGGTCCCACATCTTCAATGAACGAGGTGTTGTATGAGGCGAGTACGCGCACGAGTGGCTGAGCATGTTCTCCTGGGTGTTGGCAAGACGGAATCGCGTGGGAGGAGGGCTGAAGGGGCATTGGGGAGAGGCGCAGGCTACGAGAAGCTGTTCAGAGGACGGGAATGATCAGTGAGCACATCTTCGTCATGACCTCGTGTGCACTCGAGTGACACACGCTGGACTTGTCATAGACATACGTCTTGGCGGCGGCACGGGGAATAAGTACCTCCGGGCAGACGGAAGTGTCTGCTGGAGAAGAGATGGGTGCGGACGGCGGGATATGAGTGGGTCAGAGCGCGGCACCGGGCACATGGCTCGGAGTCGTAGGGAGAGTACATACGCTGTCACCACTGCCAGCAGGTGATGCGGAGGGTTGTGGGTACGGCACGAGGCCGTCAACCCTGGCCCCGAAGCGCTTGCGGCAATATCCAGGTATGCCGTTCTCCTCAGGCTTCCAATTACGAACTGTTCCTCCTCTCCCCTACCGTTTCAGGGCGCCATATCCGGCCGCAGCAGAAAATTCATGTTCTGTCCGAGGCTTTCACGCAGCACTCGCTTTGCGTGATTGCACCAATGTCGGGATACCCCACCCGTGGACCTGGTAAATTAGGTATGACCTTCTCAGACGCTCGTGAGCTTTCGTGCTTGCAGATTGTGTAAATCTGGGACTGGCCGCTTGGGCATTCCTGAACTTCCACACCCTGCAACCTCGGAATATCCGGCATCCACCATCTTCCTGTCAATCCAGTCCTGTGGTGTACTAAACCAAACCACACAGAGTGTGATTAAGCCTGTGAATCCCTTAGTATGCCAGCCTACAATGTGTGCCGCCCATGCTCTCAGTAAACTCTTAGCCGTGTGGTGTGAATATTTTGAATGGGATGTCAGCTTCGCAATAGCTGAATAATGCTTGCAGTGTGATCCATGATGGCTGTTTCTGTGCACACCGTTTCAAAGGTCTCCGATCACAGCATTGCCTGGGTAGTGGGCTTCAAGTGAAGCGGCATGCCATGCCAACGGTATCAAGCGAAGGCTCGCTCGCTCAACAACGTCCGACGGAGCGCCGCACACTCATTTCCCAGGCAAGTCTCACACGCCCGGCGGCGCCGTCGGCGGGTAGCATATCCATGTATTGACACACCCGGGTAGCTAATCATGGTAGTCGCTGTCGTCTGCGCCGTCTGGGACGATGAGTGCAGACTTGATTGTGTACGGCCCCAGCCGCTTTGACCGTGTCGCAGGGTCCCGCCGCCGTCCCCTGATCAAGCCTGCATCAGCGCGCCGCGGCCGTGCCGTGCGCGCGAACAGTCCCACAGCCTCGAGCCGCTCCATTTCCTCTGCGCCCACCTCCCGGAAGCGTGTCGTGCCGACCTTCCAGCGCAGCCAGAGCAGCTCGAGCCGCACGAGTGATGATGTCGCTCCGCTCAGATCGTGGAACGGGACAAGCTCATGCGGCCAGCCCTCGATGCACACGCCGTGCCGTGCGACGATGTGCGACCAGTATGTGCCCCAGTGCATTGTCACGGTGTCGTCCTTGCACGCTGCGCCTGCAGAAGGTCAGTGTCTGGTATGCGGTGCGCGAGTGAATTGCGGGGACGTACGGAGGCGTTTGGTGATCATCTTCCTGATCTTTCCCTTCGTCCAGGTGACTTTCTGATCGTAAGACATTCCTGCGGGCCGTGTCAGTGAATAAGAGCATGGCAATGGCGATGGAATTGAGAATTTACCATCTCGCGGTGAGGCGTGTGTGCGCCCTTCTTTGCTCACATTTCGAGCCATGGTGTAGGGGCGGAACAACGTGCTCGCCCAGGCCTCGTACTTATCAGCTCCCACCTCTGCACCGTCCTGCCCGCAAATTCAGCGAGTGTTTATTTCCGCAATAACTGGTGTACCCCCAAAATGAGATCCTCTGGGACGGCGCACACCGCGGAAGCGCAAGCATCGAGTTTGTGCCGAGGACGTGGTGCCATCATACTGCAGCTGAGATCTGCGTGCACCGCACATCTCGCTCCCTCGGAAATGTGAGCCGTTCACATGAACTCGTGCTCGTGGCGCGGTCTCTCGCGGCCTGACTACGATCGGCATCGGGTTCTTGCACTTGAGAATGCTGCGGTGCACGTCGAAGCTTAATTACCTCGGATGCGAGCGAACTGAAATGGGACAGGTGTCGTCGAAGGCGCACCTGGTTCGAACAAGTGTACATTCCAGATACAATGCCAGTCTGCGCACAGGAAGTCCAACGAGTCAATCTCGGACCCTCGCGGCATGCAAAGTCATTGTCGTCTCAAAAAAAAACCGGCGCCGTGCACAAACGAGGGCGATCGGACTCGCACATCGGCGCAAGTTTCCCTGGACATTCCTGGGCAGGGGTGCAAGCGTCGCGCACGAGCCGACATTGCGACGCATTCCGCGCCGGCTGCACGACCCGTTGTCCGCGGACCTTCCTGATTTTCACTGCGCACGCCCAGGCTGCTTCCTGATCGCAACACGTTCCTGCACGACGGGAATGGGGATGGGGATGGGGATGGGAGCGAGCACCGAGAACATACCGTGCATCCGCGTCCACGCCTTTGCGTGTGTTTGCAAGCGGCCCACTTGATCCATCGGTCTCCTCGGCGCGCGCCGCGAAATATCGCAAAGATGAGTCATTTCTGCGACGAGTTGTGAGGACTCGGCCGGGATGGCAACGGTACGTCATTCAGCGTGTACCGCCGAGGCAGTGGCAGCTGAGCGTGACTCTTGAGATCGGTGTCGTGTGCGCAAGTCTTGTCGTTTTCGGGACCCGTGCGTGAAAGTCGCGCACTCACACGGGCGTGCTCACTGATGACTCCTGCGGATGTGCGGACGAGTTCGTGTGCTCGAGAACGAGCTGTTCGAGTCGATCTGTCAGTGAGTAGCATTGCTGCACGAAGACACCCGTTCAAACGAATGTGCACACCGTCAGCGAGCACGAAATGAGCTCTATCGTGTGCGGGACGAGTCGAGGCTCACAGCGCACTCTGCCGCCGCCTCTGCCACTGCACCGAGCACCGACGAACGCGATTGAGCCCGCCTCGCCGGTCTGACGGATCGAATGTCTGCTACGACACACGTAGCGACGATGCGATGGATTCCGCACCGGCTGCAAGACCCGCTGCCCTCGCATCTTCCTCATTTTTTAGCGTGCCCGCCTAGGCCGCCGTCTGATCGCAATGCATTCCTGCACGACGCGAGTGAGAGCGTGGCGACGGGATGGGATCGAGAACGTACCATGCACCCGTGCCCGCGCCTTCGCGTGCGTTTGCGAGCCGAGTCGACCATCTCGTCCGTGCCCCATTTGATCCACCGCTCTCCTGGGCGCGAGATGAGTCGTTTATGCGACGGGCCGTAAGGACTCGTCCGGAATGGCGAAGGAGCGCTGTGTAGCGTGTACCGACGAGGCGACGGCTCGAGCAGCTGAGCCTGAGACGGGCGTCGTGCACGCAAATCTTGTCGTCTTCGGGATGCGTGCGTGAAACACGGCGCGCTCATGCGAGTGGGCTCACCGCTGGCTCCGGCGGGTGTGCTGTCATCCACGATGCGTTCCTGCACTCGAAAACGAGGTGTTCGAGTCCGCCTGTCGGTGGGAGCACACAGAAGAGTGAGTAGCATTGCTGCACGAAGATGTGCCCGTTCAGACGGACGTGCACGCCGTCTGAGAGCACGAAATGTGCCTTATCGTGAACGGAACGAGTCGAGGCCCGCAGCGTGCTCTGTCGCCGTTCCTGCCATCCGAAATACTCTGGCCGCCTCGGAGCACCGACTTTGAACGCGATTGGGCCCATCTCGCCGGTCTGACGGGACCAAACCTCTGCTACAGCGCCAGCGTCCGCGAGCCTCCGCAAGCCCCCCAAACTTCGGCTACAGCGCCAGCGTCCGTGAGCCGACATTTCGAGACCGTTCTGCTGTTCGTCCCTGCACCGGCTGTAGTTCCCGTCGCCCTCCCGTCGTCCAGCACGACCGTCGGAACTTCGCAAACCGCGCCCCCGGCTCGTGTTTCGGGGGTTGTGTCGGAGGGTGCGCGTACGGCTGGCGCGCGGAGGTGGACGGCCCTGGAGACTGGCGGGGCGCCCGTCGTGGTACGCGGTGTGCGGGACGATCGGACGATTCGCGCGTGGGGCGGAGGTGTGGGCCTTGGGCGGTCGTGCCGCCGCGTTTGGAGCAGAGGCGGTTGCCGCCGCTGCGTCGTTGCGTGAGTGCGTTGGAATGCGGGTGTGCGGGTGTGCGGGTGTCCTCGATGACCACAGCTCCGAGTGGGATCTGTGGTGCGAGCGAGCATGAGGGACTTGTCTCGGGCCATCGGAATTCGATACTTACTAGTGGACTACAGGGACGCTGACTACGCGTGCCCGCCGCGACCGTCACTCTCGATCGGCGATTGGCAGGCGGGCTGCGGCGGGTATGCAGGCGGACGGGTGCGTGGGCACGGGGATGGGGATGGGGCGGATGGGGAGGTGGGGCGCGGGAGAGCGTGGGGCGGGTCGTTGTACGCGAGCAGTCGGCTGGGCGGGGCAGATAAGAATGGGTGCGGGAAGACATCGCACTCTTCCCCCCGCTATCCGTCTCCTTCCTTGTCTCACCCTCGACGATGCACGGGATTCTGTGCTCGCCGTGTCGTCTATGTCGGCCGCTGTGCTGCACGTCCTCGCCGTCTCGTTTCGACACGAGCCGCCGCACGATGCGGGTGTGATACGGTACGTGTGCGCACTCGTCTTGTTTCGCCTCTGACAGTCGTCGCAGCAGGCCTGGTGCACTCGTACACACCGGCTGTGCACACCACGCGCACACCACCCACGGCGAGATTCGTCGCGACTCCGCGTGGCTGGTCTGATTCTCGCGTCATGCACGCAGGGACAGGTGCAATATCGGAACACGCAGCCCAGAGCGACTTGCTCGTCTCGCGGTGAGTCCGCGTGTGCTCGTATCGCCTTTGCATGTCTCTGACGCAGCGAGTGTTCAGTAATGAGATGGCGCCGGTCGCCGCGGGCGAATCCCGTCGGGGAACGTGAGGGCGGCTGCGCGGTCGCCATGATGCTTTCCGCACCCCGTTCGCGTGCTCGAGATGACGAGGGTGGGACGCGGGGTGCAGGCAGCCGTCAAGTACGAGCCGAGGGCCAGCAAGGCGGATAGAGGCCGGCCGCGCGACGAGCTTCACAGGAGCGCATATCCTAAACACACAGATGCCGAAAACAAGCCACTCACAGTAGCGGGGAGGCGCGGCGGAAAGTGGTGTAGATGTACTTTTGAGTACTCATGCCGGGGCGCGTCCGTAGGAATGATTTAGCCATCTTGACGCGTCGTCAGTCGCGTGAGTTGAGCGTACGCACAGTCGTGGACGTCAGAGTGCTAGCGCTAGTCGAAGTCGAAGAGAGGGTAAGCAAGCGGTAAGAGAGATGGGTATGAGATCTAGGAAACGGCCGGTGGCGGAGGATGTGTCTCCCGTAAAGACTAAGAGGAGTGTTGTATGTACAGAGGAAACCAATTGCAACATCCAGTGGGCGAGAGCGAGAAGCCGGGGGGCGAGCAAAGCAATTCAGCACGTCAGCGGGAATGTGTGGAGAACACCGCCACTGCCTCGCGTACGTAGGAGACGCGGCAGGCGAGACGGCCTTGGAGTAGCGTCGTCGGGCGGCGGCCACGGGCATTAGTAGAGAGCGACGGAAGAGCGCACGCAGGCAGAGCGAGGCATTGAAAGAGAGGAGCGAGCAGGCAGAATCGCGGTTCACTGTGGGAACGCGCGCTGACGGGCGCCTATGAAAAGCGCATACAGCGACCGTAGACCCCTCCCTCCTCCGACGCCCTCTCTGCTCTGCAACGCCGCCATGACGCGCCCCCTCGATCGTCCGCGCGAACCGGAGCCCAGGGCAGCAGGCGCTTGTGGAAAGTGGCACTGGCTTGGGCGCGTGATTGTACCCATCTCTTCCGACCCGAGAGGGAGAGGTAGCGCGGCCCAATTCAAGCTTACTTGCTACCACCGTCTTCTGTGCTCGAAGTTCGTCCTGACTATCGCAGCCTGTTGGGATGGGATATAACGAGTGCAATCATCCGGCGGACGTAGTAGTGCGCTGCTACCAGGAACACACTACAGACATATCGGCTACTCCATCTCGGGTATAGGAGTTACACTATGGCTGCGCCTCGCAAACCTACCGTAGAAGAAGAGGATCTGGACGATTTGGATGGTATGTCCTTGCCCACACCGTCATGTCCCTGCACAACCGTACTCACACGACCCAGACGTCCTCGAACAATTCAGCGCGCCGCCACCAAAGCCCCCAGCCAAGCCCGCCCCCGCATCCACCTCCTCATCACAAACACCACTCGCCAACGATGCGCCCCCCAGCGCCCCGAAAGCCGTCGACCCATTCGGGCTCGGGGGGCTAGACGCGGACTTCGCGGCGGAGCTCACGCGCGGGATGGAGTCGCTGTTCAAGGACATCGCGGGTGGCGCGGGGCTGGACGGCATCCCGGGCCTGTCGGAGGCGGAGGACGGCACGACGGACGAGGAGCGCGCGAAGGCGTTCAAGGCCGCGTGGGAGGCGATGCTCGTGGAGGGCATGGATGGCGCGATGTCTGCGGAGGAGGTGTCGGACAAGGGGAAGGCCGCGGAGGGCGCTGCGCCGGGTGTGGGCGCGCCGACCGATTCGTTCCAGGAGAATATCCGGAAAGCTATGGAGCGGATGAAAGAGAGCGACCGGAAGGTATGCTTCGTTTATCGCCGCTTAAGACCTCGCTGCTACGGATGAGTACTGACGTGATTTCCGTAGGCGGATGAAGCCACATCGAGTGGGGACGGCCTGGACGACATCTTCAGTAAACTCGGAGATGGTGTGAACGGCATGGAGTCAGAAGAGGAGCTCCAGGGGCTTCTGGAGAACATGATGTCTCAGCTCATGAGCAAGGCGGTTCTATACGAGCCGCTGAAAGAGCTGAGCGACAAGGTGTGTGAGGATTTCCGCCTCAACAATAATGGGGGGCTCACGCGGCTACACACAGTTCCCTTCATACTTAAAGGATAATGCGACGACGCTCAGCGACGAGGACAAGACGCGCTTCGCCGCACAGTCCAAGGTGGTCGCCCAGATCGTGGCAACGTTCGAGGACCCGAGCTATACAGAAGACGACCCGGTGAAAGGCCTGAAGATCGTTGAGCTCATGCAAGAGGTGCGTAGCGCCACTATCTCTGTGCCAGATCTCATAGTTTAACGAATGCATTTGACATAGATGCAAGAGCACGGCTCGCCTCCCGCCGAGATAATGGGGCCTCTTCCTCCGGGGTTTGACCTCGGAGCGGATGGGCTACCGAAGGTACCAGAGGGGTGCACTATTGCGTGAACCGAGGCGTCGCGGCGATACCCGAGCAAATGAAAAGCGGCAGACATCGTGTATGATTGGTGTAGGAACAACAGTACAGCGAACATGGCTAATGCTTCCCATCCACGCCTACCGTCCGACGGTACCTGAGGCCTGCATCATTGAGCGTACGTGCGCGAACGCCGAGATACCAGTCAGCCGCAGGCATGACTGCACGTGCAGCGTTACACATCCTCGCAGCCGGAGCAGCAAATACACCCGACCCACATCGTCCCACTGCATCTGTGCAACATACCGTGCATGTGAGTAGTTTGCTCAGCCGCTGAGTCAAACGTCATGCCACTTTCACGGTATTCGTGCGGTATGTTCCTCTGCTCCGCATGCGAGCTTCGGCACCCCGCATGCAATCTAAGAAGTGTCGATATCGAGCCTGTTCATGAGGTCTCTGTCCGAGGACGTGGTCAGTGTGTATGGAATCCCATGAAAGTCCCCGGGTCGCTTCGCGTACCCACACTTCGCATACGCGCGGGCGCTTGCAGCCACCGCGCCCCTTCTTCCCGGATACCCACCTCGTCCAGACCGTTCTCTGCGCAGTTCTTCGCCCATGCTCAGCAGCGTCTCCGTAAGACGTGCTCCCCCCGCTCTTCTCCGAGCGCTGGG